TATGCGGTTCCCTGAACTCTCTCTGGCATTGGCTCAGGCTGGAGCAGAAATACTTACCTACCCTTCAGCCTTTGATCCGTTGCAGGCCCAGTCCACTGGGAGGTGTTGCTGCGGGCCCGTGCAATTGAAACCCAGTGCTATGTAGTGTAGGTGGCACAGTGTGGACACCACCATGAGAACAGAGCAAGTTATGGCCACAGTATGGTGGTGGATCCCTGGGGAACAGTGGGGGCCAGCTGCTCTGAAGGACCAGGCCTCTGCCTCGCCCAGGTCAACCTCAATTATCTTCGACAATTGCGCCAACACCTGCCTGTGTTCCAGCGCCGCAGGCCTGACCTCTACGGCAGTCTAGGTCACCCACTACCTTAAGACTTCTGGATTCTGTTGAGTTGAGACCCCCACTGTGAGCTGGTGTTGCTGTGACTTGGAGGCAGGACCCAGGCACAGCTCCCCTCAATTGGAGAACCTTGACTCTCTTGATGCAACACAGGCTCAGCTTCTTGGGAAAACAGAAACTTCCCCCTGAGCTCAGATTTCAGTTTCAGAAAGGTGGATTTTTATATAGTCATTGTTTATTCATGAAAACTGAAGTTATGCTGAGGGCTGAGCAGCACTGGCATTAAAAAAATATAATGGTAAATCTCAAAAAAAAAAGTTAACCCTCACAAGACTCAGAGTGGTAGTTATTATCTCCATATCACAGATGAAAAACAAGATGGAACTAAACACAACACAAAAAACGTAGGCCTTGGGAGGTTAACTAAAATTCCCAAGTTTGCATTCTTAACTGGTAAGTGGGAAAGCCAGAACTGATTTAGATCTTTCTCACTGCAAAACCATACTATTTCCTGGTGCTCTTGCAGGAAAGCAAACAAAACCTTTTATAAATGGGGCAAATATGCATTTGACCTATATTTGAGACCACATTTCCATAACTGAATGCATTGGACATCAGTGGGGGAGGGAGATTCACCTGGGCTTTAATCAGGAAACCATCATGAAATATATGAGAATGCCTTTATTTTGCTTCTTAAGAGAGCTGGCATCTGGAAGAATGCAAGAAGTAGCCGAATGAGACATAATGAAAAGAGCATCAAGATTCTATGATGCTGGGTAATACCACCTCTGGAAACAATGTGTTGTACCAGAAATCATATTATGAAAAGACATTTGTGTTGGCCCATTCATTTATTCTCATGGTCACGTCATTCACCAGTCTTTTACTTAGTGGATGAGCTCATAATAATACATTTGTGCAATTTTATACATTATTGAGTTTGAAGTAACTTTTCTCATGAAAAGTGAAGCCAGGGAAGGTAAGCAGAATAAAGAGTATAGGTACTGACCACCTTGCCTGCACCTGCCTGGAGCCAGCAGTTCTCCAGGCACCCAACATCCAGTATGAGATGTGCAGGGCACCTGCAGAGGCTACTGTGCACTGGATGCTTCTGGCCAGCCTCAGACTGGCACTGATCCTGCCCATGCAGATTTATTTAAATAGAACAACTGTTGTAACACGTTCAAGTAACTCCTCCCAGAATACCTCAGCTGCCTCACCTCCAGCTAATGCCATCACCAAGGCAAGTGGCGGAGCTCTACCGTCAATAGGCTCTGCATCTCATTCTCCTTTCTACACCCTACTGTTAAGAGACTCAGGCCAAGAATACTCTACACAGTAGCTACCCCCCCCACCCACCCACCCCATCTGTGGTTTTGCTTTTTGCAGTTTCAGTTATCCTCCTACAGCCATGGTCTTGGAGGCAGGTGATTCTCCTGACAAATCATCAGGATGTCAGTAGTAGCCTGGTGCCATGTCCACAGTGCCTGTGGCATCTGCCTCAGTTACTCTCACCATGTAGACATTTTATCATTTCATACCATCACAGGAAGCAGGGTGAGAACAGCACAGTAAGGTGTTTTGAGAGAAAGACCACATTTACACAACTTTTACTACAGCATATCATTATAATTGTTTCATTTTATTATTATTATTGTTCCTTTCTTATTGTGCCTGATTTATAAATTAAACTTTATTATAGGTACATATGTATAAGAAAAAACAGTATTTGTAAGATTTGGTACTCTCTGTGGTTTCAGGTATCCACTGGGCGTCTTGCAACATAGCCCCCACATTCCCCATGGATGGGGGGACTGTACTTCATTTGCTAACCTGAATCAAATGTTGTCTGGACAGCCAATGTGTCTAGACAAAGAAAAAAGAGGCCTTCTTTGAATCTGCTAATTCTGTACCTTATTTTTATTGACACAGAAAATGTTGAGGATCCCAAATTTGATCGGTTTGAAGAGCTTGTGAAGGGTTTTACTAGATGATGAAAGCCAGTATTAAATCTACTGGGGTCTCATGTACAAGAATGAAGAGAGGCAGCACCCAAAATTAGTTAAGAGATGATATCCTTAAATGTGTCTTAAGAAGTTTGGAAAACATAAAACTCTATCTTGAAAATAAGAGTGGATTTTATCTTATCTAGGGATAAAGGATGGGATGTGAAACAGAGATTGTTTTCATTTGGCTTGTTAAATCTGTAAGGCCATAAGACAGGTAATACAAAAAGCTTCCATGATTCTCTTCATATGTACCTTAGAAGGAGCTTCCAGGTATTACTGTAATTCCTTCATGTATCATTTCAGCAGTACTAATTTAATGCCAATGTACTGTAGATGAAGTTTTATACTGTTAAGCTGTCACTGTTCTCTCGGGAACTGACATTGGACTGGACATTGTGTTTGACTTTTTATATAGTAATTGACATCCAGGGCAATGATGGATTGGGATCTACCTCAAATCCAAGCAAAATGAGCACATTTTGCTTATATATTAATCACCTACTCCTATCAAAAAGAGTGCCCAATTCATTTAGCTAAATTGATTCTGAGAGTAGAAGTACATTGACTTGAACTAATTTCAAACTGCTATTTATTTATGCTGAATATACTTTTTACAAAAAATTGGCCTGTTTTGAAGGTAAAATGGACAAATTTTGAAATTAAAAAGACAAATATGTGTAGGAGTCAAATCTGTAAATCAAATATTTAAGAAGCTTACTTATATTAAATTCAGAAAAATATTTATAACTCTCTGTAAATACTTAAAAATTTTTTTAATCAAAAATAGCTACATTTGGAACACTTTTTCTTATAGATCAATATGTTTGGATAGTTACAGTCTGTTCTTAAGCCTAAAGTGGGCTTGATTCTGGAAAGTAAGTCACTTCACAACTGCCTAGATATACAGAAATCTTGTTAAAAATAGATACTCCCTAAAGGTTTTTGTTCTCATGGTCATACTTTGATGCTCAGATGTTCCAATATCTAATTTGGCCACAGTAGCCTTGATCATCATTTCCAACCCCCATCTTTAGAAACCTACACCATCACATCCATATACAACAGATCTCAAGCCATTGGTTGTGTGAACATTCCTTGTGTTTCATACCTGAATGCTGTACATTTATTTCGATTGTATATTGGTTTATGTACTTATGCTTTGATTTATGGTAATTTCCCATGTTAAGGATTTGATTTTCATTGAACACCAACTATAAATAAAAAGAAATAGGTACAAAGACCCATATGGGTACTGTGATTACCATTTTACAGATGAACATAGACTTCGAGACATTAAATAATGTCCTTAAAGTCACAACAGCTGCTAAGTGTCCTTGACAAAATTTAATTTACTCTTTCAAAATGAATGTTCTTTCCATGATTTTGACCTAGTTAATAAGCAAGACATGCAACTGGAAATAGTATAAACATGATTGCATATTGATTCCAACATCCAGAGATAATTGAAATCAAAGATATTTTGAGAAGAGATATTTCAGTGAAGACTAGTCATGAAATTCTTTCTCTGGAATAGTAAAAGTAAGGCCCTCTTTTAAAATTTTCAACATTACTCTTTGTTTTTCAGTCTTTATCATGGGATTGTTCCCACTTTTTCCCATGATAATTTTACCTAGATAATGCAAGAATCAGTCTTTAAACGGTATTTTCATTGAACCACACCTTATCTTGGAATCTGAAAAGAGATTAAGTTAGGTGTTCATATGCAGAAAATCATTTTCCATTCCTTAATTTTCTACCATAGGATTAATAGGCATATAAAATGAATCCTGAGTGACTGGTAATGAGCTGCGTCAAGATGAATAATATTGAATAAAAAATGTAAAAACTTGAATGAAAGGAGGCAGCATTCAATTTATTTACTATAGTTCCTGATGTGAACATATTGTGAACATTAAAAAAAGTATAAGACATGAGATTTTGAAACTTACATCTTCATTTATTATTACCGATTCCAGCCAAGGAAAATTTGCCTCTAGCCATTTCAAAAGAATATGTAATTAAAAATCAGTCATAGACATTATTGTACACAAATGGGAAAATTCAGAAAAATAGCTCTTTCCTGAACAAAGATTGCTTTGCTATGTGGAATTTTTGTGTTAGGTCTGTTTTCTTTCTGCTGTTAGAACATATTCAATTTAATCTTAATCTAAATCCTAGACCATCTTCACTGTAAGCTAAATACAAAGCCCTTTTTGTTTATCACTAAACACAAACTTTGTTCAAAGGCATTTCTTTTGACTTTAAGAAAAGTTTAGATTATGGCCAGAAAATGAAATTCTGATTTGATAAAACATGTACATTACTTTACCTGATGGCTTAATTTATCAATAAATATTATAAATACTATGGAATTCTTGCATGGGATGTGTACAAATTTGAAATGGAATTATTACATTTTTGAAATTTCAAGACTGATTTCTTTCATGCTTAATTGTTATTTTATTGAATATCATTCAATTTTTATAATCTTTCAGAAAACTGAATTTTTCTTAATAGTTAGGTTATTTTTATTTAACAAGAGGAATGCAACAATAGTAAAAATATTAACATACATCTATCTTTTATTTAATAATACATCATGTTTCCTCTCATTTAATTGTTGCAACTGGTTCCTTTTTCTTTTCTTTCTATAGGCTGAGTTAAATGACCCAACGGATCCTTTTGCTAATTATAATACAGAAGTTTCATCAAATGTAGGGGATGAAATTTTCTCTAAATATATAGGATGGAGAATTGCCAATACGCTTTCCAAACTATTCTTCCCCTCCACTGATGCCTGTGTTCTTCCTTTGAAAAAACCACTGATAAAACGAGATCAAATGAAGTATCTGAGTAAAAAGGACTCCATGAAGAAGAGAGTTCTACATTTCACTGTCAGGTAAAGTGAAGCGCTATTCAAAATAGTCCTGTTATAAAAATGTATTACATTTCAAACTCATATAAATTATATATAATCATGTGTTTTATCACATAACTCAGTTTGTCTTTTTCGATTCAAATCGTGACTCCATCACCTCTTAGATATTCTATCATGAGCAAATATTCCCTTCTTAGAAACTTTCTTTGTGCTTAAAATGGGTATTATTATATAATATAAATCATTGTTTTGCTAAGGTGAAAGCCTCACTCCCATTACTGACCTTCATTTGCCTAGTTTATACGCATTTCTTCCTATCACTAATTTCTGTGCATCCTTCCAGGTTCTATAAGATGTAAATATAAGAAATCATATTTAGAAATTTCTCTCCATTTTTACATGAAAGCTAGCATATTAAATATGCTATTTGGCATCTTGCATTTTTTTATGTAACTTCATTTCTTAGATAACTTCCCATGCCAGTACACAGAGAATTTTCTCATTATTATTATTTTTCTAACCAGCTGTAATGTTTTGCTCAGTATGGATGTACGACTATTTAACTGGTTTCCTACTGGTGGTCATTTGGGTTGTTTTAGATTGTCTGCTACCATAGACTACCACAAATGGCTTGGTCAGAGGGCATAGGCTGCTGTTATTTTGGTAAATATTTCCAAATTGCCTTTCAGAGGACTTGTGTACGTTTATATCCTCAGCAGCAATGAGAGGGCCTACTTGTCTCCAGCCTCCCACGAGAGGTGTTGACAAACTTTTGGGTTTTGACAATCTGAAAAGTAAAGTAAGGTTTCTACACATAGTTTTTCTTTTTCTTTTCCTTTTTCTTAAGGTGAGTGGCTTGAACACCTTTCATATGTTAAGAGCCTTTTGTTTTTCCTTTCTTTATATGGAAATTAACTCTATTTCTTTTTGCCCATTTTTCCATTGGGTTTTTATCCTTTTCACCTGGATTTGCAAGAACTATTTACTTATTAATCAGTGTGTGCCTTCATCTTTGATAAGAGATACAAAATTTTCCCACTGTTTCTTTATTTACCTTTAAATTTTGCTTATAGTATTTTTTTTGGCATATAGTCACTTTTCTATGTAATATAATTTATCAATTTTCTATGATGGCTTATGGATATTTTTATTTAGGAAAGTTCTTTTCATTTAAAGATTAAAACATTTTTACATTGTTTTCTAGTGTTTTTAAGGTTTCATTTTTGAACATTTTAACCATTAGTCTACTTAAAAAATTTTTTTTTCTGGTGTGTGGTGTGAGGTGTTGATCCAGATTGTCCCAACAATATTTATTGATCCATCTACATTTTTCCTGATTTTAAATGTCGTCTTTGCTAACACTAAATTCCCATTTTTCTTTCTTCTGTGTTCTAAAATAATTTCAGTCCCCCCCCCAAAAATAAAAAATATAAAAGTTTCAGTAATTTGGAATTATCTACTCTTTGAATCTTCGATAGATTTCCCTCTTAAATCATCAGTACTTTATGCCTCTTCTAAGGTAGCTCTCTGTCAATTTTTTCTATTTTATGTGGCTGTTGACGAGGCTGATTGAGCCAGAAACACAGGTACAGCTAAGTTCGGTTCATACTGTTTGAGGTCCCTGCTGTAACATTATGGGGGGCATCAGCCCTGAAAATCACTCTCTTCGAATCTTTCTGTTTCTTCTTGACAATTTTAGCAAAATATGCTTTCTTTGAATATTATTTATTTTATCCCACTTCTCAGAATTTATTTGACCATAATTGAATTAAGTAGTGTCTTGAGAATCCTCTGTTTCTGTGTTTATTACCCACTAATCAGTTCTTATTTTGTATATTTGCATTTTGTCCCTTTTATTCTCCTTCAGTAATTTATGTTGTGTTTTATCCATTTTATATATTATTTTTGCAATGAGCCAGCTTTTGGATTTAACTCGTAGTTTTGTATTTCATTTTCTCAATTCTTGAAGATTAAGTTGTGGGAAATATTCTTTCTCAGCATTTGTCTAAATTGTTTTTTGAGTTCCAAAATCATGGACTGTTACTGCCCAAAGCAGATTTTATTCAAGTTGTAATAATTTGGTAGAATAAGGCCAGTATGTAGGCTTTCCTTTTGTGTACACAGATAGTCAACAGAAAAATAAACACATGCTTGAGAAGAGTTTTGACATAGTTTTAAGCATTTTTTCAAGACTTCTAGAATCAGTAAGGAAGACATGTAGGTGTGAGTTTAAGGATCGCACAGCCTGGACTCCAGTAGTTTCATGTGCAGAAATAAGTATTATAAAAATATCCTTCAGTGTATTTATAACTACTTGTAGAATTACAGTATGATCAAGGTATAATGAAAGTGCCAGCTTTACATGCCAGGGGTTTTGAGATTCACTTTTAGGAAATCTTCAAATGTACACAGAATGTACAGAGTACCTAAATGTATTCTGTACATTCTCAAGGACCGCAGACATGGAAGAGAATCAATCTGTGGCCACTGAACAAGTGTACTTTGGTTTCTGATCATGGTCGGTCAAAAGAGAAGAGAGTAAGAAAGAAACTAGAAAAATAGGAGAAACTGGATATTGACCAAAGGAGATGAAAGCAGAGGGAAAGGTAAACTAATAGAAGAAGCAGATGAGATGAAAGGGGTCTGCTAGGACACAGAAAGGAAAAACAAGAGAGAGGCAGAGAGCAGGAGAGACACACTGACGATGTCTGAAAGAGCTGAACTGAAAAACAAGTGAGAAGCAGAAAGGAGGAGAGAGACCAAAAGAAAGGGAGGAGGAAGTAAAGGGAGAGATGCACTGGGGATGGAAGGTACCAGTGGAGAGCCAAGCACAGGCTTTGGGGTGGGGAATGAGAAAGTGCAAAATCAGAGAAGGCGGAGACCAAAGAGGCATGGGATGGGGTTAGACCTACCAGCGTCCTGTAGAATTTTTTTTTTTGGTACCATTAATCTACAGTTACATGAGCAACATTATGTTTACTAGACTCCCCCATCACCAAGTCCCCCCACAAACACCATTACAGTCACTATCCATCAGCATAGTAAGATGCTGTAGAATCACTACTTGTCTCACTGTGTTGCACAGCTCTCCCCGTGGCCCTTCCACCGTGTTATGCATGCTAATCGTAATGCCCCCTTTCTTTCCCCCGCCCTTATCTCTCCCTTCCCACCCATCCTCCCCAGTCCCTTTCCCTTTGGTAACTGGTAGTCCATTCTTGGGTTGTGTGATTCTGCTGCTGTTTTGGTCCTTCAGTTTTTCCTTTGTTCTTATACTCCACATATGAGTGAAATCACTTGGTACTTGTCTTTCTCTGCTTGGCTTATTTCACTGAACATAATACCCTTTAGCTCCATCCATGTTGTTGCAAATGGTAGGATTTGTTTTCTTCTTATGGCTGA